GGGTGTATGTGGGTCACCTACACCAGGGTGTATGTGGGTTACCTACACCCGGGTGTATGTGGGTCACCTACACCAGGGTGTATGTTGGTCACCTACACCCGGGTGTATGTGGGTCACCTACACCAGGGTGTATGTTGGTCACCTACACCCGGGTGTATGTGGGTTACCTACACCAGGAACCCATAATGTATATGACCTCCAGTATATCGTAATCCATGGGGTTAAGGCTCGTGTTTGGCGTCACTCAGAGCGCTGGTTCGATTCCCGTCGAAGGTAAGAGAGTGGTGGGGGCTCGTGGTACTGGGGGAGGTATCCCAAGTTGGATAAGGGTGGGATTAATTTCAAAGAAATCAAGTCTAGTGTAATTGGATATATATATTAGCTAATTTATTGATGAGATTCCCCAGAGGTTTGTACACACAGGCCTGCACACACATTCTGAGACACACATGATTGTACACACACATGTACACCTCACACAAAGCTACACACACACACACACACCGACAAACACACGGACAAACACATAAACAGGGACATCCCGCCAAACACACACCGAAACTACGACGTTGGTACAACGTTCCAACAAGTTTTAACACCTCCTAACCAGTTATAACAACCAATATAGTAAGTTGTAACAACGTTCTAATACGTCATAAACACGTTAAGCCAAGATGTAACAACTTTATTACAAGTTGTAACAAGCGGAAAATAGAGACAGTTTCGGTTTGTGTTTCCAGGGATAATTCTACCACCGCAGGATAATAAAAAAACAAGCCATTTCTATCCGACTATATTTGAATGGTTACACCAAATGCCTTCCACAACAAGCTGCTTGGAAGCACGAATGTCACACACACACACACACACACACTGACGTCACCACCACACACAATATACAGGAAATAAGGCAACCCTCACTAATGACATGACCGCTGAAGCCTTAACCTCCTGGTGTTGTTGTAGTTATAAATTCAGCCACTGGGAACAAAAAGTTCCAAGTAGCACGGACTATGGTGAGCCCGTAGTGGACTTACCTGGCACAGGAGCGGGGCTGTAACTGTTTAATCTCCGTATAGCGTCACTTAAACACCTCCACCACACCTTTAACCATGACTGAGTATATCTTAAAGATATACACGTGTTATAAGAGGTCTTCTGTATCTTTTTCTCTTGTCATAAGTGTGGATACATGGTTTTCTCTTCGTTTAACTGTCTCAAAGATGTTCTCTGAATATTTTAAGACGATGTGAGTTTGACTTTTTAAATAATTACGATTTTTTTTTTCTTCAGCTGTACGCCATGAAACTTTTTTTTGTCTCGATTTGGTTCTTTGAGGAATGAGACTCCAGAATCAACAGTTGTTCACTGTGAGAGAAAGACTCGCCCTCGTAGACGTGTTCACTATACATGTTCAGACTTATTTTGAACACTAAAAGAATATCCACATATTTGGGGATATGTGGATGGACTGCCAGACACTTGAGAACCAAAGACCCCGTGGGCAGACCTGAGGCCAGAAAGCACTTACGCAAGCACTTAAGAACGTGTACATCTTTCCTCAATCTTTGACGGCTTTGGTTACATTTATTAAACAGTTTACAAGTATGAAAACTTCCCAATCAACTGTTGTTATTGTTATAAACAGCCTCCTGGTGCTTCGGAGCTCATTAACTGCTTAATAATTGTAAACAAAGCCGCCAAAGATTGAGAAAAGATGTACAGGTTCGTAAGTGCTTGCGTAACTGCTTTCGTGAATCTGGCCCCTGATGATTGGTCTATGGGGATGCCGAAGTTGGTCACGTGACTGCCGCAGTTGTGGGGTGACGTGAAATGCTTTGTCAATAGGCCTTGTCAGAGACCGGGCCGTGAGAACATTGATATTCGAAACTACGTCAAGGTAACCTTGTAAGGTGTAATTACCTAAGTGTAGTTACAGGATGACAGCTACGCTCGTGGTGTCCCGTCTTCCCAGTACTCTTTGTCGTATAACGCTTTGAAACTACTGACGGTCTTGGCCTCTACCACCTTCTCACCTAACTTGTTCCAACCGTCTACCACTCAGTATGCAAAAGTGTCGATAATCCTATGTATGAGAATCGCCAAACGACTCTTGTTATGCTAACTATTCACTAGAAAAATCTTGTTTGATATGCTAACTGAAGAGCGAATCATTATATACTTTATAGTTAATGATAATCTTACTATACAGAGATTAATATACAGGAATTATTTATATATTCAACAGTAGACTTCTTGCACAAAGAGTTCAGCTGCCAGCTTAGCAAGGCTGATCTTGTGTAGAATAACTGAAAGTGAATTTATACCATTCAGCTCCTGTATATACAACCCAACCTGTATACTCAACATGCGAATGTTTGTTGTCAAAGCGAAGCCCATTAGTATTTCACTAATGGAAATCTTGAGTAGTTAGCACACTGGAACACAGTGAGTACCAGTTAATTCGTCGTCAAGCCAGATTCGTGTTTACCTACCATCTCTTTCTCCTCACAGTGAGTTGAAAGTTGTTTGTTTGTGATATGAGGTATTCTAAGCAGGACACGTGAATGTTCTGTAATTGAGATCCACCTTGTTTCGAGTTCATTGGCCCTATGTGTTCGCTGCTGTTCTGTGTTGACTGGAGGTTTGTGTTCACTGGTCTCTCTCTCTCTCTCTCTCTCTCTCTCTCTCTCTCTCTCTCTCTCTCTCTCTCTCTCTCTCAAACACACACAACCACTTAACTGAGCCTCACACATAATGAATTTCGTAATAGGTTTAGATAATTGAGTTTTGATTATAGATTTATATAACAGATTTAGATAATAGATTACCGATTATAGATTTATATTGATAATAGATTTATGTGTACAATAGATTTCCTTAATAGATTCTGATAATAGATTTATTTTAATACTAAATTTACGTTAACAAATTTAAAAAATACCTTTAAATAATATATTTATGTTAATATATTTATATTAATAATAAATTGATATTAATAACAAATTTATATGGGTAATAAATTTATATTGATACTAACTTGACATTGGTATCAAATTTATATTCTCAATAGATTTCGTTAATAGATATAGCTGACAGATTTTTTGATAATAGATACAGTAGATCCAGTTTAGAAAAATCAGTTTTTTCGTATCACGAACTTCTCTGACCTGCATATATATTTTAATTTTGTCATTTCTCAAATGTTTCTATTACATTCTATTGATACTGAACATACAGGCTGGCGGACGTCGTGTGATTTTCTGACCTGCTGAAATTTCAGATATCCGAGAACTTTCTGACCCATTCCTCACGTCCAAGTTGGTTTGTCACGTGTTCAAATACGTTTATCGAGACAATAAAATATTTCTCAAAGGGGATAGAGTAGCTTAGGTTATCCTGCCATTGTCACGTGTTTGTGATATCTTAGCATTTTGATATCACTGAACACTGAGGTGTTTACTCATTTTACAAAGTATGAGTTTTAAATAATTTGAGTGTGTGTTTTTTTTGGGTGTTTATTCTGGAACTGATTTTTTTTTCTGGTGTAAATGTTTAGCTTGTTTCAATATGTCTTTAAACTGTTGTTTTAAATCTGTTGTCGTTTGAGTTGGCTACTGTTGTCTGTTGAGTTGGTTACTGTTGTCTGTTGAGTTGGTTACTGTTGTCTGTTGAGTTGGTTACTGTTGTCTGTTGAGTTGGCTACTGTTGTCTGTTGAGTTGGCTACTGTTGTTTGTTGAGTTGGTTACTGTTGTCTGTTGAGTTGGCTACTGTTGTCTGTTGAGTTGGCTACTGTTGTCTGTTGAGTTGGCTACTGTTGTTTGTTGAGTTGGTTACTGTTGTCTGTTGAGTTGGTTACTGTTGTCTGTTGAGTTGGTTACTGTTTTCTGTTGAGTTGGCACTGTTGTCTGTTGAGTTGGTTACTGTTGTCTGTTGAGTTGGCTACTGTTGTCTGTTGAGTTGGCACTGTTGTCTGTTGAGTTGGCTACTGTTGTCTGTTGAGTTGGCTACTGTTGTCTGTTGAGTTGGCACTGTTGTCTGTTGAGTTGGCTACTGTTGTCTGTTGAGTTGGTTACTGTTGTCTGTTGAGTTGGCTACTGTTGTCTGTTGAGTTGGTTACTGTTGTCTGTTGAGTTGGTTACTGTTGTCTGTTGAATTGGCTACTGTTGTCTGATGGGTAGTGACTGTTGTCTGTTGAGTTGACTACTGTTGTCTGTTGAGTTGGCTACTGTTGTCTGTTGAGTTGGCTACTGTTGTCTGTTGAGTTGGCACTGTTGTCTGTTGAGTTGGCTACTGTTGTCTGTTGAGTTGGCTACTGTTGTCTGTTGAGTTGGCACTGTTGTCTGTTGAGTTGGCTACTGTTGTCTGTTGAGTTGGTTACTGTTGTCTGTTGAGTTGGCTACTGTTGTCTGTTGAGTTGGTTACTGTTGTCTGTTGAGTTGGTTACTGTTGTCTGTTGAATTGGCTACTGTTGTCTGATGGGTAGTGACTGTTGTCTGTTGAGTTGACTACTGTTGTCTGTTGAATTGGCACTGTTGTCTGATGGGTAGTGACTGTTGTCTGTTGAGTTGACTACTGTTGTCTGTTGAATTGGCACTGTTGTCTGATGGGTAGTGACTGTTGTATGCGGGGTTCGAACTGTTGAAGGGCATAATAATAACTAGTAGACAAGCAGGTATACACGTCCCCTGACCTCTGACCTTCCCCAATGTGATTTGTGAGGGAGGGAAAGTTTACACCAGTGACTTGTCACTCTGGGTTTACCTGCACATCTGACACAAGCTTGTTAACACGTGACTCGTTGGTCTGTGACCTTTAGCCGCCAGAGGATACCTGGGGCCCAGATTAACGAAGTAGTTACGCAAGCATTTACGAACCTGTACATCTGTTCTCAATCTTTGGCGGCTTTGTTTACAATTATTAAATAGGTGATGAGCTTCGAAGCACCAGGAGGCTGTTTATAACAATAACAACAGTTGATTGGGAAGTTTTCGGGTTGTAAACTAATAATAAATGTAACTAAAGGCGTCAAAGATTGAGGAAAGATGTACACGTTCGTAAGTACTTGCGTAACTGCTTCGTGAATCTGGGCTCTGATCATCCAGGCTATGACTTATACGTTAGACTGCAAGCAGCGGCATCTATAACAGCCTAGTTGGCCAGATCACCAATCAGGAGGCCTGTTCAGGGTTGTTAAAACATAGTTCCTTGGAACCATCTCGAGGAAATTATTGAAGCTACAGTATTTCACTCAACAAGCTTACAAGACGTCCTCAAAGTTATCTTGCAACCACCAACAGACGTCTAGATCATAGACCTATTTGAAGGGAATGATGGACCCCGGAAGAATCATCATTTTGGAGTCAGTTTATCATCGTGTCTCTGCCACTCTCTCAGAACACAATTAATGGCTTCCGGGAGACTTTGGAGGTTATAAGGACTTGGGACCTTGCGTTTCCAAATATCTCGAGAGTTAATTTGAACCACGTGAACTGCAGGCTGCAGCCACAGACAGGCGGCTAGATCACGGACTCGCTGGAGGCGGTGTCGTGCACTCTCTCAGAGTTCAATGGCTTCTGGGTCCTTGTATGTTATGCCAGCCCGGATGTTCTTCAAGAACCGCATCACAGCCCACAGCGCCAGGACCTGTGGGATAGAGAAGAACATCAGCTTCATGAGAGAATATCAGCTACAGGTGTTGTTACATGAGAGAATATCAGCTACAGGTGTTGCTGCATGATAGAATATCAGCTTCAGGTGTTGCTGCATGAGAGAATATCAGCTTCAGGTGTTGTTACATGATAGAATATCAGCTTCAGGTGTTGTTACATGAGAGAATATCAGCTTCAGGTGTTGCTGCATGAGAGAATATCAGCTTCAGGTGTTGTTACATGAGAGAATATCAGCTTCAGGTGTTGTTACATGAGAGAATATCAGCTTCAGGTGTTGCTGCATGAGAGAATATCAGCTTCAGGTGTTGTTACATGAGAGAATATCAGCCTCAGGTGTTGTTACATGAGAGAATATCAGCTTCAGGTGTTGTTACATGAGAGAATATCAGCCTCAGGTGTTGTTACATGAGAGAATATCAGCTTCAGGTGTTGCTACATGAGAGAATATCAGCTTCAGGTGTTGTTACTTGAGAGAATAACAGCTTCAGGTGTTGCTGCATGAGAGAATATCAGCTTAAGGTGTTGTTACATGAGAGAATATCAGCTTCAGGTGTTGTTGCATGATAGAATATCAGCTTCAGGTGTTGTTACATGAGAGAATATCAGCTTCAGGTCTTGTTACTTGAGAGAATAACAGCTTCAGGTGTTGCTACATGAGAGAATATCAGCTTCAGGTGTTGCTACATGAGAGAATATCAGCTTCAGGTGTTGTTACTTGAGAGAATATCAGCTTCAGGTGTTGTTACATGAGAGAATATCAGCCTCAGGTGTTGTTACATGAGAGAATATCAGCCTCAGGTGTTGTTACGTGAGAAAATATCACCTTCAGGTGTTGTTACGTAATAGAATATCAGCTTCAGGTGTTGTAAACAGTGAGTCACAAAGTGGCTGAAGATATGTAGACCAAACCATTCATCAGAACACGAAGAAACGAACACGTTTCGAACCGTCGTGGACCATTATCAAGTCTGATGTCTCATGAAACAACATCAGCTGGAAGTATTACATTAAAACAAAACATTGTCAACATACTCACATTGATGCAAACTCGAGTCAGGAAAAATGTCATTTCTGCTTTGCATATTCCATCAAATTTCTGAAAAAAAAATATAGACGGGATTTAGTTTGTAAAGGTTTTGTACCTTATGATTGTAAGTTTTTTGTAAGTAAGGCTGAAAATTTACTTAAATAATATGATATTAAAGTAAGGTTGGTTACTTTACTTGCTTAATAATATTGTTTTTTTTATAAAAATTACTGAAATTTAAAGTTTTAACAATATTTTATATAGTATTTTTAATTTCAATTTCATTAATATTTAGTATATATAAAAAATAAAGTTTTGATATTAAATACCAAATATAAAATTTATTATAATTTTATACCTGAATGGAAATAAAAGTAATTACAAGATCCTAAAACGAATTATCTTACAAATGAAGAAAATAACAGGAACACAAGCACATTAACGAAGTAATCAACAACTCTTATCATTCAACGAAACAAATAAAACAAAACAAACACATAAACTAACCAAACAAGATAAGAAACCTCTTGCGCAGCTCCGTAGGACACCGTGATAAATGAAGGAGCTGGCAAGGAACGAGAAGAATTAAGCGAATTGGTGAAATAGAAGAGGAAATGATAAAAAAAATCGAGGTTGAAAATGAAGGTAAGCTGGAGGCTGCAATCATGCCTCGTATCTGCCCACAGATACTAATTTTGGTGGGGTTTGGTTGTCTAGGACGGAGGGGGTGGGTATCCGGAGTATCAGGAGACGTAGGAAGATCAGGAGGAAGGAGAGGAGACGTCGAAAGATCAGGAGGATTAATATCAGGAGATAGAGGAAGAGGGAAGACCAGGAGGACTGTAAGAGCAGTTTTAAGGCCCCTGTCTTTTCCTTCCCCTCACCTTATTGATGTGGTCTCTGAGAACATTGGAGTACATGCAGCAGACGGCCTCCAGGGCCATGAAGGCGATGTTGGCCACCACCCAGGGCGTCACCAGGCCACACCTCTCCTATGGCAGACGAGCCCTTGTGAGTCTCACGACCGGTGAGGACCTTTGTGAGGTGCGTGGCACCGGCGTATGTAAGGATATTGTGTGGTTCACGGGCTGGGGGATATGATATGGTGTGGTGGATGGGGTTAGGGAGTGTGTCTTGAAGGTGAAGGGGGGGGGGGTGTCTTGAGGGGGTGTGGGGTGAGGAAAATGATCAGATGCTGTGTGGGGTGCAGTGGTAAGGTAATGTTTAGGTTTGAATGTATGTGTGTGGAATGTATGAGGTGGAATGACATGAGATGTCGACATCTCCCTACGACACTCATCTCAGAGGCAGGCATCATCCCATTACAGTAAAGAAATGTTACAAAATTGTGTGATACAAAAACAACAACTTTACAAACACTAAATATTAAAACTATTCCAACAACAGAATTTGTATTTCCTTAATAATTATTATATCGAGGCATTTCTTGTTGACATATTTCGTTATATAACAAATTATATGATAAATTTTAGGGGGGAATGTATTGTGTATGCCTCACCCCTCAGTATGCCCCCCCCCCGATGCCTCACCTGTTGTATGCCTATGAAGAGAAAGGAGCTGAGAGCGATGAGAGTGATGTGTGTGCCCAAGGTAGACACGTAGGAGATCTGCACACCTGCTGGAGAAGGTCAAAGGTCACCAAAGGTCACTATAGCAAGAGATCTGCACACCTACAGCAGGTCAAAGGTCATTAAGGGTCACTATAGACAGAGATATGCACACCTACAAGAGGTCACTAAAGGTCACTATAGCAAGAGATCTGCACACCTGAAAAAGAAGGTTAATGATCACTAAAGATCACTATTGAAAGAGGCAGGTATAACAGTCTTGGAGACCTCTCGGAGGACAAAGTTCAATTAGTAACATCTTACTTATAAAAGTCACTGGTAAAGGGTAACTTTAACCAGTGATCCGAGGTCACTGGAGGTCACTGTTAGAAAGGTCATGGATGAGACGAAGCCATTTAAAGCAGCTTGAGGCTGGTATATGTCAGAGCTCAGCAGGTATAATGTAAATGGTTCATTGTTAACCAGGGTATATTTTTAACCCAGGCTATATATAACGAGGGTATATTATTAACTAGGGGTATATTTTTAACGCGGGACTATTTTTAACGAGTTATTTTAACGAGGGTATATTTTTAACGAAAGATGAATAATGAGTCTACTACCACCCACAGGATGGGTATGGGATCCACCACCACCCACCGGATGGGTATGGGGTCCACCACCACCCACAGGATGGGTATGGGGTCCACTACTACCCACAGAATTGGTATGGGGTCCACTATAGTCACAGGATGGGTATGGGGTCCACTACCACCCCACATGATGGGTATCGGGTCCTCTACCACCCACAGGATGGGGTATGGAGTCCACTACCACCCACAGGATAGGGTATGGGGCCCTCTACCACCCGCAGGATGGGGATGGAGCCTTCTACCACCCACAGGATTGGGTATGGGCCCTCTACCACCCACAGCATGGGGTATGGGCCCTCTACCACCCACAGGATGGGGTATGGGGTCCACTACCACCCACAGGATGGGCATGGGGTCCACTACCACCCACAGGATGGGTATGGAGTCCACTACCACCCACAGGATAGGGTATGGGGCCCTCTACCACCCACAGGATGGGGATGGAGCCTTCTACCACCCACAGGATGGGGTATGGGCCCTCTACCACCCACAGGATAGGGTATGAGGCCCTCTACCACCCACAGGATGGGGTATGGGCCCTCTACCACCCACAGTATGGGGTATGAGCCCTCTACCACCCACAGGATGGGGTATGGGGTCCACCACCACCCACAGGATGGGTATGGGGTCCACTACTACCCACAGAATTGGTATGGGGTCCACTATAGTCACAGGATGGGTATGGGGTCCACTACCACCCCACATGATGGGTATCGGGTCCTCTACCACCCACAGGATGGGGTATGGAGTCCACTACCACCCACAGGATAGGGTATGGGGCCCTCTACCACCCACAGGATGGGGATGGAGCCTTCTACCACCCACAGGATTGGGTATGGGCCCTCTACCACCCACAGCATGGGGTATGGGCCCTCTACCACCCACAGGATGGGGTATGGGGTCCACTACCACCCACAGGATGGGCATGGGCCCTCTACCACCCACAGGATGGGGTATGGGCCCTCTACCACCCACAGGATGGGGTATGGGGCCCTCTACCACCCACAGGATGGGGTATGGGGCCCTCTACCACCCCATGAATGGGGTATGGGGCCCTCTACCACCCACAGGATGGGGTATGGGGGCCCTCTACCACCCCATGAATGGGGTATGGGGCCCTCTACCACCCCATGAATGGGGTATGGGGCCCTCTACCACCCCATAAATGGGGTATGGAGATCTTAATAAACGAACCAAAATAGCACAAAAGCTTCACCAGATCAATATATCTTTACCCTGCACAGTACAATTAAATAATCTCTCTTTTTATATCACTTGTTACATAAATCTGCATTAATTGCCTCGTGCAGGCGATGAGTCACAATAACGTGGCTGAAGTATGTTGACCAGACCACACACTAGAAATTGAAGGGACGACGACGTTTCGGTCCGTCCTGGACCATTCTCAAGTCTACTTGATAATGGTCCAGGACGGACCGAAACGTCGTCGTCCCTTCAATTTCTAGTGTGTGGTCTGGTCAACAATTGCCTCGTCTCTCTGAAGCTGTATCGCCACGCTGAATTAAGGTATCCACCTCCTGTTATTAGATTCCAATACAGCAGCCTTTGCTTGTTAGCTCCGGGATGGAACAAAGGTATTTTGGAATTAGTGGTATTTAAAGTCTGAATATTTTTGTTATCCAATTGATTTTGGCTTTAGTTTGTTACGCCTTATGTTTTTGTTATGCATATTTGATGTATATTTACCGCATGAATACATGTTTGTGTTTTGTAACTATGTATTGCATTGATAATTACAGCGCGGATACATCAAAGCAAACTCTTTTCTGTGACATGAAAAAATAATGAGAACAATATTTTGATTGATAACAAATAAAAATGATAATAATAAAAATTATATTCTTTATTATTATTCTTACTATTAATATTATATCAATTCTATATTAACAAGTCTCACATTGAAAGTTTTGTTGTCATATATCTTGTAAACTTGCCTAAACAGCTCTACAATGTAGAATTTACATTCTAGAAGTATACTCTACTTCCCATGGAGGTAGATTAAGAGTTTACTATAGTCCTTGCTTAAAATATGTTATGAAATAAATAATTTTGGCTCAAAGGTCGTCTGTATACTGGTGTTGATGTAGTATAATAATTCTCTAGAGATCGGTAGGCACTAAGCCAAAACCCCTGAAGATGGTAGCAAAGGTAGGGGTCAGGTACCCTATCTACCCCCTGACGAAGGTAAGGGAGAGGTGTAGAGGGGTACAGGTACCCTATCTACCCCCTGACGAAGGTAAGGAAGAGATGTAGTGGGGGTACATGTACCCTATCTACCCCCTGACGAAGGTAAGGGAGAGGTGTAGAGGGGTACATGTACCCTATCTACCCCTGACGAAGGTAAGGAAGAGATGTAGTGGGGGTACATGTACCCTATGTACCCCCTGACGAAGGTAAGAGGTGTAGTGGAGGTACACGTACCGTAATAGACGTCCTGGAGGTGGTGGGGATCCTCGGCGTTGACGATAATCCTCCACAGGTACACCAGCACCACCACCACTGATGAACACTGCCGGTACGGGCACAATGGTACATTTACTGTCGGTACAATCACTGGTATAATCTTCTCCCCCCCGGTACAGATACAAGGGTACAGTTAATTCCCGGTTCAGTATCAGAGGTACAGTTAGATACTTGACAGCAGCTTAGGGAATGTTATGCTAACAGTTATTTGTAAAACACAATCACCAGTCACCTGCCAATCATTCAATCATAAATTAATCAAAGTACAATCACTTGTAACTCTCCAATATTCTCATCAATATGTCTGGAACCACAATTCACACAATCGTTACGATAATCTCTCTACCACAATCGTTACGATAATCTCTCTACCACAATCGTTACGATAATCTCTCTACCACAATCATTACAATAACCTCTCTACCACAATCATTACAATAATCTCTCTACCACAATCATTACAATAATCTTTCTACCACAATCGTTACTATAATCTCTCTACCACAATCGCTTAATAAAATACCTGGCAAACAACAATTGTTTGCATGAAACAGTCTTCGGGTTCTCGACTTTTAAGACGTAGTTTGAGTTCGCAGACGAGCGACGTTTCCATGGCGTTATTCTTTTATTAACTTTTAGGGAGATACTTTATTGAATTCCCTGTGTGTCGATGGCACAAGATATGGAAAATGGTCTTACGTTTATATATATATATATATATATATATATATATATATATATATATATATATATATATATATATATATAACTGAATATTATATATATATATATATATAACTCGTGATGGTCAAGTGGATTAAGGCGTCTTGTACATACCAGTTGCGTGGCATCTGGGAGTATGGGTTCGAGTCACTTCTGGGGTGTGAGTTTTCAGTTGCATATTGTCCTGGGGACCATTCAGGCTTGTTCGCATATATATATATATATATATATATATATATATATATATATATATATATATATATATATATATATATATATATATATATATATATATATATATATATATATATATTGTGACAATAATCTCCTTCAAGAGATTGAGCCTGCTCTTCCCTCCACAAACACGTCGTT